CCTCGCCAGAGCCAGACTGATGTCAGGCTGCCCACGCCCACAGATGCTGAGCACGGTCCTGGCCCTGCCGGCTCCACTCCCACCTTCTGGCTTTGGGATGCTCCAGTTCAACCCCCCACTTGCAAAGATGGGGGGTGGGTCACAGGCATGGCAGGGGAGGTGGGCACCCAGGTCTTGCCCTTCTGCATTGCTCCATCACCCTTGGAAAGCCATGGCGGTGCAGCCCTGGTGAGATCCACCGTGCTAACAGTGCCCATCTCTCTCTCCAGTGCATTTGCAGGTCTTCCTCGGCGCGGGGCTGGCCCTGCTCTGCCTCATCATCCTCCTGGTCTGCACCGTGTGCTGGCGGCACCGCCAGTGCCCGGGCCCCCACCTCGGCTGGGAGCGGGCAACGGTGGAGCTGGGACCCACTCTGCCCACCAGGACGGTGCCGGTGCCCATCCAGCAGCACTACAAGGAGTTGGCAGGAGCGGTGCTGGGTGCCCGGGAAGAGAAGGGTCCCCCAGTGTGGCCAGCATCCCGCGGGGGCTTGCTCCATGGCAGAGCCTCCTTGCCCAGCCTCCCCTTCCCCGCAAAGCCGGCAGGAGCGTGGCAGTGCCGCTGCACCATCTCTGGAGCCAACCTCCTCTGCAAAGAGGAGAGCCCGCTGGTCCATCCCATCCTGGGACCCCCCACCCCGCTGCCCTCTGGCATCAGCCCCAAGCAGCGTCCTCAGCTCCACTGCGACTTGTTCTATTCGCCAGCCGAGGCCACGCTCACTGTGATGGTCCTCGGCGTCTCCCACCTGCCCAAGGGGCTGTGGGGTGGCCAGGGCTCCTGCGTCAAGGTGTACCTGCTGCCACAGCTCCTGGCATCCCGGCATGCAGCATTGCAGTGCAGGAGCCTCCACCTTGCCCGCCAAGAGCCGTGCCGGTTTGGCCGGTACACCCTGGAGGAGCTGAGGAGCTTCACCCTGCACTTCGCCGTCTACACCAGGTTTCACAGCCTCAAGGACTCCTTTGTGGGAGAGGTCCTCTTCCCCTGCGCACAGGCCACCTGGGACCCCCAGGTGTCTTCTAGCTACAGCTGGGAGCTGTCGAACACCAAAACCAAGCTCAGAAAGGTCAGGAAGGCAGGTTGTCCTCATGTTTTGGCTGAGGTCCGCTTGGACTCAGAGTCCTAAAGCTCCACGGCAAGAGCCAGAGCCTCCTCCAAGCATCACCCGGTGGGAGGCAGCGGGAGGGACTGAAGGTGCTGAGGCAGCAGCCCCCTGCCCCTGCAGTGTCCTCTCTTCTGGTGCAGGTTCATGAGCTGTGCACAATTAATATCTGTCAACTATAGTGACTGGTAGCATCTCTGCTTGGGGGCTTCGCTGAAGATGGGGGTGCTGGGGGTGGAAGGGTTAAATGCAGAGCTGGCACCATCGTTACGGTGATGGTAAGCATTAAATTCACCTTCTTGACTCATTTTTGTCCATTCTTGAGCTACCAGTCACAGAGGTGGGAGACAAGCATCCCTGAGTTAGAGGGGCTGGATGAGGTTGGAGAGAGTTTCACGGTGTCTCCTGCTCTCTCATCTCTTTGCAGTGCCTCAGCGCCCATGACACGAGCCACAGCGTCCTCTCTTCACCCCCCAAATCCCTCGGCCAGCTCTTCCTTCTCCTCCAGTACCAAGCTCTGGCCAGTCGCATCAAGGTGCTGGTCCGCAAGGCAGAGCACCTGGGCCAGCTCTCTCGCACGCCAGGCACGCCAGGTAGGGCACCAGGCATGGACCAGGGGCAAGGAGATTCCCAGGTGGGCACAGGGAATGGCTTCCCCTCCTTTTGCTTGGCAGAGAGTCTTATTTCCTCTTGAACTGCTCTTTTCTAAGCAAAATGAGTGCAGGTAGCGCAGCTAGGATCTAGATATCTCTGATATGGCCCCAAAATGCTTAAAATATACATATTTATCATTAAAAAATAGCATGTAGCTTTCTGTCCTGCTGGCTGTTGTCATCTCTGGCTCCCCCAGCCCACGCAAAGCCTGGGATGCGGGCAGGGATGGGAGCTGAGGACTTTGGAGGTCCTTGCTCCCAACCAGGGAGGGGTAGGTGCAACCAAGATGGACAGCACATCTCCGTCCTCTCCCCACAGCTCCACAGAGCCCCATGGAGGTCTTGTAGACCCCCGGGCACCCCAATTTGGCTGCCCATGCCGTGCAGGAACCTGGTTCGTAAACCTCCAGCCTCCCTCCCTCGTGCGTGTCCAGAGCAGGTCCCTCTCACCAAGGCTCTGTCTCCATTTCCAGGCCACTACGTCATCATCCACCTTTACCACAATGGCCGCATCATTGACACCAAGGAGACCAAGTCCAGCGCTGGCTACAACCCTGTCTGGAACATGCCCTTCCTCTTCAACCTCCCCGCTGGGGACATCCAGCAGCAAGAGCTGTCCTTGGAGTTCACCGTCATGCAGGTGAGCAGGATGGAGGTGACCATGGCCAAGAAGGTGGCTTGGATCACCCATGCTCAGGATCCTCTCCTGCAACTGGGGGCCTCAGCCCCTGCTTGTGGGAGGGGTACAGGCAAGCCCGGAGGAGCTATTTCTTGCTGCCTGCAGGAGGTTGCTGGGGTGGGATTGGTCTTCCTGGGGCAATGGGTGTTTCTATCTCTGCTTGAAGGCCGTCAACCATGTCCCACACTGCTTCTGCCCCTCTCCTGCCACAGGCTCGCATCTACACCCGCAGCTCCCCGCTGGGCCGCGTGCAGGTGGGTCCCCACGCACCCGGGGCTGGGCTGCTGCACTGGAGGGAGATGTGCAGCCGGGGCCAGCTGGAGTCGGCGCGGTGGCACCAGATCCAGCCCGACACCCTCGGACCCTGATCTTGCCCGCAGCCCATGGGCAGGGCTTGCCCGGGACTCAGCTGCCCATGGGATTGAGTGAAGGGGGATCTCCAAGCCTTGGAGAGGTGAGGTCTCAGCCTGCATGTCATCGCAGGCTCCATCTCCAGGGCTGGAGATGGGCAGTGGTCAGCAAAACCCCCTTCTGAACGGCTCCAGAGGAGAATGAGCCCATTTGAGATGGCTTTAGCTTTGGGGAGAGGAGAAGAGCAAAGCAGGAGCCTTCCTCTGTTACGTCCACCAGATGCCCGCTCGGTGCCTGCACCCAGAGCAAACCCTGAGTGCCTGAAACCTTGGCCATGGTAGGAGATGGGTGGGAAGATCACCCAACTGGGAGACCAGCCCCATGCCCACCAGCTGATGGCCATGGTGGTGGTATCTACTGCCCCTTCTACCCCACCATCAC